CTTGTGTCCTTACACAGGCACCATGATGAAGTGGGGTCAATTCCCAGCTTCAAGGATTGCTCACCACTAGACAATTTGCCTATAAGTTTCTTTCTTTAAGATTTTATTTTAAAATATTTTTAATGTTTATTTTTGAAAGAGAGAGTCAGAGCACGAGCAGGGGAGGAGCAGAGAGCAGAGGGGGAGACACAGAGTCCGAAGCAGGCTCCAGGCTCCGTCCGCACAGAGCCCAATGTAGGGCTTGAACCCACGAACCATGAGATCATGACTTGAGCTGAAGCCGGATGCTTAACCAACTGAGCCACCCAGGCCCCTAAAGATTTTATTTTTAGGTAGTCTCAACACCCAACATGGGGCTCGAACCCACAACCCCGAGATCAAGAGTCGCATGCTCCACCGACTGGCCTGCCCAGCGCCCCTGACTTGTAAGTTTCCTAATTCACACAACTGAAAAGTGGCTTTGCATGGAGTCCAAAGGCAAGAAGTGCAGGGACCTGGCCTCCCATCCTAACTTCCGGAAACTTACAGCAACTTGTGGAGCCCAAAACAAGTCTGTGACACAGCAGGAATTAGATTAGCATAATAACAAGATGAAACAAACTGTAAGAAATACAATTAGGCATCCAACCCACCTCCAGCATCCACTGCAGGTGCCCCCCTCAAAGCCCAACATTAACTTTTTCTGGTTTTAAGCCCTGCAAGTGACGTACCTCTATTTCTTGGTTTGTCTGTAGGGTTCCCTTCTTCCTTCTCATTTTTATGTGCTTTCTATTTGTAACTTTTTTTTAAGGAGTAATGGCATTCATGACCATTTCCCACTACCCCCCCCCCTTGTTTTTTCTCTATTTTTTTCCGCCCAGGCAAAGCAACACAATGCCCTACAGCTTCAGGCAGTTTAGCTTATTAAAGTCAGTCTGGGTGCTGGGGGGAGGGGGGGGCGGGGCTCAGTCGTCAAGCATCTGACTTCAGCTCAGGTCTTGATCTCACAGTTGGTGAGTTCGAGTCCCACATGGGTTGAGCATGAGCCTCGCATCAGTGAGCTCCAGGCCCACAATGGGAAAAAACAGCAGCTCCCAGGGAAGCCCTGCTTCTCTCTCTCTCTTTCTCTCTCTCTCTCTCTCTCTCTCTCTCTGCCCCTCATGGGATTCTCTCTCTCTCTCTGCCCTGGCTCACTTGCGCCGTCTCTCTCTCTCTCTAAAAAGTAAATACATAAATAAAGTCAGTTTGGAAAAGCAATTTTTATTCAGCAAGATCTTTCTTTTTTTAAGCCGTCTATAAATGTTCACGGACTCGCTGTATCTTTTGGGCAGAGGCTTCCTCCTTAGGCCACTTGCTGGTGCTGAATTGGCCTGTTTCACTTGCTCCTCGCTCCTGCCTTTGGGTAAGAACGAGCCCTGATGAATCCCCCTCCCGTATGACAGTTCTCACTCTCGGGTCTTTGCAGAATGCTTGTCCTGGTTATAACCCAGCATCGACCACCTTCTATTTATGTGCGGTCTTGAATTTCTGGCTCATCACGAGTTTTTTTTTTCTTTTTCGGTCTCGGATTCTGAAACATCTGGTCTGGTTTATTTCCGCTCATGGACCGACGCAGCGTGCCAAATCAGCAGAGCTTCTTTGAGCATTGGGAGGGCCAGTGCTTCCCAGGCGACCCGACCGGAGGGGGGAGGCGGGGCTGATCACAGCTGATTTTAGGGAGCCAGCACCTCTCCCCGGGTCCCTGCCCCCAGACACGCCTGAGCTCGCCTGCTCCTGAATGATGCTCCCGGCCAATCTCGTTCTAGGGCCAGATTCTGAAAGCTCCGGGTTATTTTCCGTTTTGTTTTTTTGTTTCCTCCATCCTTTCTTTCTCCCTTTCCTTGTTGGAACTTAATATTCTCTTAATGAAATTAATCTTAGAGTTGTTCTTCTCCCGTAAACTTCCAGCTCCAGACGCAGGATAGATCGTAATAATTCCAGTCACGTCCTGGGAAACGCTGAATCAGGACCCGCAGGGGGACAGTGAGATGAATTCAAGGCCAGCCACAACCAATGAGAGCAATTTATTATTTTTTCAGTTAAATGTTTGTTTATTTTTGCCTTTTTTTTTTTACAAATAGTTTTATTGTCAAGTTGGTTTCCATATAACACCCAGTGCTCATCCCCACTTTCATTTTTTTATTAAAAAATTTTTTTTAAAGTTTTATTTATTATTGAGAGACAGAGAGAGACAGAGCATGAGCATGGGAGGCGCAGAGAGAGGGGGAGACACGGAATCTGAAGCAGGATCCAGGCTCCTAGCTATCAGCACAGAGCCCCACGTGGGACTCGAAATCATGAACCATGAGATCATGACCTGAGCCGCAGTCGAAAGCTCAACCGACTGAGCCACCCAGGCGCCTGCCCCCCCCCCCCCGCCCTTTTATTTTTGAGGAGGAGAGAAGATCTGAAGCGGTCTCTGCAATGACAGCAGTCAATTGATGCGGGCGGGGCTTGAATTCACGAACTATGCGCTTGAGACCAGAACTGAATGAAGCCAAACCTCAAACAGCCAACCAGTCAGTCGCCCCAGGCGCCTCTTGTTTTTATGTATGGGCCTAATGTTTACTCTCAGGACCCAGACGTTAGTCAGAGCTGCTCCTCCCTGGTCCGCTCACGCTCACGGCAGCCCCGCGCCTCCCCCAGTGCCCGCCACTGGTCCCACTCTCCCAGTCCAGACCCACTACCTCGGACTTGGGCTCACCCCTGGTTGGAGCCTCTCACGATAAGGGGTGTGTCCCTCTCCCACATCATCTGGAAGTGCCCATGCTGAAAACGTGCGTGCGCGCGCGCACACACACACACACACACACACACAATCGTCCATGTCTCCCGGATTCTGGATTCTAGAATATGGGAGCCAGATCTCCCTTTATATACTTCCTCAGCACACCCGTAATGATAGTATTAACCTCTAGCCTATACCCAGCAGGGAAATGAATCTGAGGACAACGGACGAGATGAAGACTACCCACTCCCTTTTTAATTTTTTTTTAATGTTTTATTTATTTATAGGAGAGAGAGAGAGACAGTGTGAGCAGGGGAGGGTCAGAGAGAGAGGGAGTCACAGACTGAAACAGGCTCCAGGCTCTGAGCTGGCAGTCAGCACAGAGCCCGACGTGGGGCTCGAACCCACAAACCGCAAGATCATGACCTAAGCGAAAGTCGGACGCTTAACCAACTAAGCCACCCAGGCGCCCCTACCCACTCCCTTTTTAAAGGGAGGTATCCGTAGATCAGCTAGAGACCGTGGCCTCCGGGACGCTGGTTGTGGGCAAGCAAGAAGGACTCGGTGGCCTTGTCCTCCCCCAATGCCTAAGCAGCATCCCGCTGAGGCTGCCCCTCCCCGGCACAAATCCAGGCTGAGGAGGGTGTCTCCACTCAAAAGAGACACAGGCCCTGACCTCCCAAGAACCCTTCTCCATTTCCACCCTAAACAGACTTCAAGCAGGGATGCTCAGGGGCGCCTGGGTGGCTTAGTCGGTTAAGCGTCCGACTTTCGCTTAGGTCATGATCTCGCGGTTCGTGGGTTCGAGCCCCGCGTCGGGCTCTGTGCTGACTGCCAGCTCAGAGCCTGGAGCCTGTTTCAGAGTCTGTGACTCCCTCTCTCTCTGACCCTCCCCTGCTCACTCTCTCTCTCTCTCCTAGAAATAAATAAAACATTAAAAAAATTAAAAAAAAAAAAAAGCAGGGATGCTCATCTGTGACAAACCCCACCACTGGAGGAGGGGACAGCGAGCGGCCTTCACCTTAACCATAAAGTACTTCCGGGAGCCTAAGGCTGGGGCAGCGTCGCTTGGGGCAGACTGTGGATGAAGTTCACACGGCGCTGCACAGAGTCGGGCTCATCCCACCTCACGTGTGGCTGGCACAGCACCAGGCGAGCGCCCGTCGGGAGCACTGGAGACAGAGCTGGCGTGGCCGGAGCAGCAGAGCAGGCGGGTCCCAGCCTGGGCCCCTCTGGGAGCCACACCCCACCCTGAGTGTCCTGGTCCCTTCTGGACTCTCCTGGGGCCCCACGAAGGCAGGCACCGGGGAGGGTCCAGACCACAAAGGAGAGCCCGTGGGAGAGGAGAGGGAGGAGGTGGGGTCGATGGGTCAGCCGCAGGTACACCTGGGAGCCCAGCCTGAGGAGGGGAAGGCTGCGGGGGTCTCTGTCCACACTGAAGCGCAGGGAAAGGTTAGGAGCAGACCCAGGATGAACTCAAGTCCCCTGTGTCCAGGTGACTTGGGATACAGGTCTCTGGCTGGAGAGGGGATGCAGGCAGGACTCTTGGAAAAGACGGGTTTAGTGTTTTCAGGAATGTGGGTATTTCCTGGGTAGGAGGGACAGGAAGAGGGTTCTGTAGAGCAGGCGGCTCCAATGAAGTCAGGCCACAAAGGGGGCTGAGCTGACGCACGCTGCATTATGTGTACGACCCACGTTAACATTTAGGGAATTAGGGGGCTCCCAGCTGGCTCAGAGGGGAATAGTGTGAGACTCTTGATTTCAGGGCCGTGGGTTTGAGACCCACGTTGGGTGTAGAGATTACTAAATAAGAAATAAACAAACTTAAAAAAAAGTTTAGAGGGTTAGGTTTGGAGTGGGAACCAAGGTCCCAGGCCCGAGTCTGGAAACGAATCAGGGCTGTGGGCGTGGGCTGGGCCCGGGACGCGGAATGGGTGTCACTATGATGGGGAGTGAGTTTTCATTCCCCTCACAGCCCAGGATGGAAATCTCTGAGCAGCCCAACGTGGGGTAGGGCCACCCACCGAAGTCTGGAGTGGCCCAGGAAGTGACAAATGACTCAGTCTTCAGCAGCTCACACCTAAGGGCTGACCAGCCAATCAATCCTCTCCTAAGGAAACTATGTGCTTGCTGCTGATTCTCAGTCTGCTAGAGTTTAGGAGTGGCCTGATCTAAACAGCCCAATCAGAAACGGGGGAGTAAAGGCTGGGCCAGCTGGCTGCAGAAAGTTCCAGTCCTGATCGGTCTCCTTCATTGTCCTACAGCCTCTTCAGAAGCGATGAAAGCACGAAGAAGCATCTTAGGTAAGGAGGAGCCCAAATCTCACCCCAGCCCCTCCACGCAGCTCCCGAACCCCAGCGTCATCCCAGCCTCCTCTCCACCCCTGGCCGCCTCAGAAGCATCTCTGACAGACAGCTCCATAAACCTGTCTGTCTGGGAGCCCAAGCTGAGAGCTCAGTCTTCCCTCAATACTCGTCCCCTGGAAAGCCTCGGCTGCTCACGACCCGCTTCAGCCGGCTCCCTTGCAGGGATGGCCCAAGCCAAACTCCGCCCTTTTCTTTATTTTTTAATGTTTATCTATTTATTTTGAGGGGGAAGGGGCAGAGAGAGAAAGAGAGAGAGAGAGAGGGAGAGAGAATCCCAAGCAGGATCCACGCTGTCAGCGCAGAGCCCAACATGGGGCTCTAACTGTGAGATGAGGACCTGAGCCGAAATCAACAAGAGCTGATCGCTTAACTGAGGGAGCCACCCAGGCACCGCCCCGCCCCCACAAATCCATACCTTTAAACCACCCTAACCCAGCCTTCTTCACTACTCATGTGTCTTCCCTGAGGATCCCACAGCCACTTTCCCCACCCCACTTTCCTCCTTGGGGTATAATGATTCATAAGAAATCCTTACTTGGCCGTTAGATAACCAAAGCGTATTTCTCAGGTACGTTTGGTCTTTGTAAATTCCTGAAGATGGTTCAGAGCCATAAAGGTGAAATGGGTATCTTGCTATTAAGGAAGGCGACTTTGGAACCACACCCAAGAATGGGAGCTGGTGGCCAGGAGGACTGAGCAGAGCGATGAAGGAGTGGAATGCTCACTCCCACCTTCCCTACCTCCTGGGGGGGTGGGGGTGGGGGACAGGGGCTAGAGATCGAACCAGCCAACGGCCAGTGGCTGAACCAATCACGATTAGGCAATGGAGCCCCCATAAAAACACAGCAGGACTGGCCTTTGAGGGGCTCCAGGTCTGTAAGCAGGTGGCGGCGCCGGAACCCCTCCCCTTGCCAAATGCATCTCTTCATGTTGCTGCTGATTCATACCCTTTATCAGAGTTTTTAATGAACTGGTGAACACACCTGAGTGAACCTGCCGTAGGGATCTCTTCCTCGGGCTGTTGATCCATACCCCGTATCAGAGCCTTTAAGAAACCAATAAACATGAGCGAGTGTCCCCTGAGTTCCGTGAGCTGCTCTAGCAAGCCGGAAGAACCTAAGGGGGTCGCTGGAACGTCCAATCGGTAACCGGTGGGTCAGAAGCACAGGTGACAGCCGGGGTGGGTCTGTGACTAGTGTCCGTGGCGGGGAGGTGGGGGACAGTCTTGAAGGCCTGGGCCCTTAACCTGTTAGGAGAGGATGCTATCTCAGTGTCCAAATCTGAGTCGTATTCTCTGACACCCCGCTGGTATCTGAGAAGGGCCTGGTGTTGTGTGGGCGGGAAGGAATCCGGACTGGAAAAGAGCCCACTTTCTTCTCCCTGAAAAAGAACCCGCTTTCTTCTCCCTTAGGAGTTCCTGTCTGCCTAACAATCTTCTTCCTCCAGGGTTCAAAGGCAGTCGCAGGTAAGACCCAGGAGAGAGGAGAATGGGGAGGGAGGCGGCTGCCCTGGGGCATCTGTCCCTCCTTGACCCCCACCATCAGTGTCTCCGCCAGATGCCCCCATGGGCTCAGGCCTGTGGCTGTGCCAGCCCGCCCCCCGGTGTGGGGACCAGGTCTACGACCCCTCCCAACACTGCTGTCATGACGACACCATCCTGCCCCTGAAGCAGAAGCGTCAATGTGGCCCCAACTGCACCTTCTGGCCCTGCCTGGAGCTCTGCTGTCCCGAGTCCTTCGGCCGCCAGAGGTTTGTTGTGAGGTTGAAGGTCCCGGGTACCCAGTCCCAGTGCCCTTCATCGCCCATCTCCAGGATCTGCCCCAGGTAAAGGCCCTAACTGCTTGCGGCTGAGGGAAGGAAGCAGGGATGAGGGATGCAGAGGGTCCTAGGGGGAATCCCGTCTTGTTTTATCTCCGGCCATTTCTGGAATCTTCCCACTCTTTTCCTGGTCTCTGTCTCATAACTTCCTAATTTTTCCTTCTCTGCAGCTGAAGAAAACCTTTCTAGACGAGCTCCTTATGAAAACGGATGTGAGGGGCACCTGGGTGGCACAAAGTTGGTTAAGCGTCCGACTTTGGCTCAGGTCATGATCTCACGCTTCATAGGTTTAAGCCCCGCGTCAGGCTCTGTGCCGACAGCCAGCTCAGAGTCCGAAGCCTGTTTCGGATTGTGTCTCCCTCTCTCTCTGACCCTCCCCTGCTCACAGTGTCTCTCTCTTTCTCTCAGAAATAAATAAAACATTTAAAAAAAAAAGGGGCGCCTGGGTGGCTTACTCGGTTAAGCATCCAACTTTCGCTTAGGTCATGATCTCACAGTTCGTGGGTTCAAGCCCCGCGTCGGGCTCTGTGCTGACTGCCAGCTCAGAGTCTGGAGCCTGTTTCAGAGTCTGTGTCTCCCTCTCTCTCTGACCCTCCCCTGTTCATGCTGTCTCTCTCTATCCTAGAAATAAAAAAATAAAAAAAATAAAGACAACTGTCATTTAAAAAAACAAAACGGATGTGTTCCATTTGCCAGCAGGACCCACCTACATTACCTGCTTCCCCCACCCCCGCCCCACTCCACAGTCCCCTGCGGGGTTGGCAGGGAAACGGATCAGTGTGCTGGGCCCTCTGTTGCCAGCCTTCGAACACTCAGAGACACCTGCACGACCTTCAACTCCTTGTGCCTAAGTCCCTCATCTGTAAAACGGGGGTACTAGAGCTTTATCTTGTACATTAACCAAAGACCTGTGTAATTTAGAAAGCTCCTTCTAGACTATCAGATGGCTCAACGTTGCATAAATTTATAAAACTGAAACTTCTCATTTTCTTATTTTTTAATAATGGTAACATGTACTTGAGAGTTGCTAGGTACGGACTGTAAGCAGTCTCACACACACACACACACACACAGGTTTGCCATGTGAGGTGACAAGTGTGTTAATTATCTTTATCTTAGTCATCATTGCACTATATAAACGTATGTTGTGAAAATCAGTAACGACACACCTCATTAAAATGGAGTTGGGAGATTTGGGGAGGGGCAGCTCTCATGCCCTAGCACTCGTGGTCAGCGGCACCCCCAACAGGAAGAGATGGACTTGACCTTGCAAGGACTTGACCTTGCACGAGGCTATACTCTACTACTGTGGCCGAAGGAAGCTGCTTTCCTCAGCATCCCAGGCACTAGCTGCACTCATGAGAAGCCACTGCACTTGGAACTCCCAGTTTCCTCCAAAGAACTTTTAGTTCCTAAGAGCCTTCTGGGAGCTGCCCCTTCTCTCCTTACAAAAGTGCACCTTGGGGCACCTGGGTGGCTCTGTTGGTTAAGCGACTGACTCCTGGTTTCGGCTCAGGGCATCACAGTTTGTGAGTTCGAGTCTAGCGTCAGGCTCTGCACTGACGGTGTGGAGCCTGCTTGGGGTCCTCTCTCCCTCACCCTCTGTCTCTGTCTCTCTCTCTCTCAGAATAAATTAAATAAACTTTAAAATAAAGCGTGCCTCTCCTCTGCTCCCTGGACTTGCCTGTGGTTTTGACACAGCTTGTTTGTCTGGGATTCCAAGTTAACTTTGCCAGGTGATTAATGTGTTAATCACCCTGACCTTGGCAATAATTCCACAACTTATACTGCACATCAAATCATCACGTTGTACACTTTAAACAGATATAACTGTGTTTGTCAATTATCCAATAGCGCTGAAAACAAAACAAAACCACAAAACAACCCACTTAAATGGGATCATTTCAATGAACAAAGTATGCCATGACATATAATTTCAAAGCAGCTTCTGTTTTCACGCCTCTTTCTTTTCCGATTTTTTTTCTACATGTAGTGCTCGTTCTCCCCCTGCCCCTGGATAAAAAGGTCAAATGCCATGAAATTATCTGGTCTCTTTTATTTAATAAATACCCTCTTCTGATCAACTGAAAATGCCCAGAAGTAGGTAACAGCGAAGGCAACCGACTTGATTTAAGCTTACATTTCAGGCCCCCTCCTAGCTCTGGACCTCAGCAAAAGTGGGAGCCTGCACACAAGGAAGGAACGTGGGCGCCTTTTCCCTTTCTCTCCACCACCCATGTCTACGAATCTTCTCCCAGTCTGCTGATTTGGTTTCCAAACCTACCGCTGTAGGACCTTGTAATCACCTGAGCTTTACGGGTATCGCCCCTATGACGCCAGGGAGGTTCCTCCTCCCTCAGGACCATCGTGGCGACGCAGCACGGACACCCCCTGAGCTTTGCAAATACTGAAGGCTGCTTCGTCCCCTTCTGGCTGCACACTCGCTTCTACACATTAACGCAGCTCTCACCTGACCTTCCTTGGAAGGGTGCAAGCGCCTTTACGCATTTACGTTCCGTAGCAACTTTGAAAAGTCAATCCAGCGGCGGCTAGGAGGGCGGGCGTCATGCAGATGTCCACGCAGATGTCCACGCAGCCACAGCAGATGGGCCACTGCCGGCCACGGAGATGTGGGCTTTTGCAAAGCGAGCCAGTGCCCGGATGGGGCACAGACGCGGGTATGAGGGCCCGAACCTCGCGTGTGTAACTCGGGATCTGTCCGGATAAAGGGGTGCGCACCCACTCCAGCCCCGTGGTGGCCGCACCCGTAGAACCCGCCCGGGAGGCACAATCACGTGCACTGCGCACGGCACGACTCTCCGGACTCCAATCCAGCAGGCGGCAGCGACCCGACGGAGCCGACGGAGCCCCGGGGCCACCAACGGAAACCATTACGGAGAAACACAGCCCCGTGCGAGGGCAGACGCAGCCACTATGTCAGCAGCGTCCCAGGGCCCGGGGAGCCCCAGGGGCAGCAAAACCCACCGCCCTGCAAGGCTGACGCGGAGACCTCGACGGAAACATGGCGGCCCCTCCGCCGCGGCAGTGCGCATGAGCGAGCGCTCTGCTGGAGGCGCCTGCGCACTGGGGGGCTGCGCCGCACCGGAAGCTCGGTGTCCTCCAGCCAGGCAGAGGGGCTGTCGGGGATGCTGGGCTGGGAAATCCCAGGAGAGGGTGGCCCGCAGGCCTTTTGGGTGACAGTGGAAATGGTATATGCTGCTGTGCTTGGTGCATGTTGAGCCCGCCCTTGGTCCCACGATTGGATGCTGTTATAACCCCTATAAAAACTAAGTGACCCGAAAAAAACACACCAATCCAAGGGGTGAAGAGTCCATTTGATGCCTCTTTGGATACTAAGGTCCTGGTGGTCTGTGCTAAATTTGGTCATCCAAGTTCATGGTTGGGGCAGGGGTGAGTGAAAATAGGTTCGGGATAAGTTTTATCCCCTTTTCTGTGGGAAGTTGAACACAGGCGTCTTGTCTGGATACTGTTTCTTTGGAACCATCATGGTTTAAGATAAAGGCGTGTCAGCTGTGTGATCAAGCAACATTGTTTATCATTAAGAGAATGCCTGAGCAGCACCTGGGTGGCTCAGTCTGTTAGGCATCGGACTTCAGCTCAGGTCATGATCTCATGGTTCATGGGTTTGAGCCCCGCATTGGGCTCTATGCTGACAGCTCTGAGCCTGGAGCCTGCTTCAGTTTTTTTAACTCCCTCTCTCTGACCCTCCCCTGCTCACGCTGTCTCTCTCTCTCTCTCTCTCTCTCTCTCAGAAATAAATTTTTAAAATAAATAAATAAAAGAGGACGCCTGACCTGGACTGAAAGAACTGCGAATATGTGACCAGAAAGAGTTAGGGATCCCTGGAAAAGGAAAGACAGACATAGCTTTCTTGACACAAGGAAAGTCATCTTAAGCCCCTGGGCCATCTTATGAATGAGTGTGAGAGTAAACAGCCAGGAGGCTGACTAATCATATCAGGACGATAAATCAGAGTTAAAACTCCCAGGCCTCACTCGGAAGTGATGACAGCCTTGTGCACACTGAGTAATCTTTGTAGGATCTAAGCCCTTCTAAGCACTCAGATACTAGACCACAAGGAGCCAGAGAATTGATAATTCTGACCCTTGCCAAACCTAATGACGTTGACCTGGACTCAGCCACCTGAGGCTTAACCTGGAGGGTTAAGATGATCCCCCACCCCCACCCCAGGGGCACCTGAGTGACTCAGTTGGTTGAGTCAGACTTGATTTCAGCTCAGGTCATGATCCTGTGGTCACACCGAGCATGGCGGCAGCTTAAGATTCTGTCTTTCTCGGGGTGCCTGGGTGGCTCAGTTGGTTAAGCATCTGATTTTGGCTCAGGTCATGAACTCACTGTTGGTGAGTTTGAGCCCCATGTTTCAGGTAGCAAATGAACACAGGTCCAGAGGGCCTGCATAGCCTGTAGACTACAAAGAGAGAAGTCTTGGTTTTCCTGGGTGGAGTGTCTTGTTCTGAGCACCACACTCGTGTGTTTTGGAAGCTACGCCGAGTTTCTCTATTCTATGTCTGTTTTCTATTCCCAACCACCACATATGACAGCCTGCAGATTTCTTCAGTTCACACACACAAGTCACAATAGGCTTCAGCTCGGCAGAGCAGAGTTAAGAGGACACAGGAGGGGACCCCTGACAAGCCACCATCACAGCATTAGACACATCTTTATGGAGACGCCTTGCAACTATCTAGGTGGCACTTTCTGGCCTCCAAAACAGGCAGCTCAGTCGAAAGGTAAGCCACATAGTTGGAGATGCAAACTATTTCACATGCAGATCCTCATGCAGGACAAGAACCATCAGCCTGTGTCAGCCCATGAGGGTAGCTTCCAAAGTATGCAAGTGTCATGTTCAGAAAAAAGAAACTTCACCCAGGAAAACAAAAACTTATTTCTTAAACCTTTTTTTTTTTTTTTAGTGTTTTATTTATTTCTAGGAGAGAGAGAGAGAAACAGCGTGAGCAGGGGAGGGTCAGAGAGAGAGGGAGTCACAGACTGAAGCAGGCTCCAGGCTCAGAGCTGGCAGTCAGCACAGAGCCCGATGCGGGGCTCGAACCCACGAACCGTGAGATCATGACCTAAGCGAAAGTCGGACGCTCAACCGACTAAGCCACCCAAGCACCCTTTCTTAAACCTTTTTTTAAAAATGTTTTTATTTTTGAGAGTGAGAGAGAGAACAATCAGGGGAGGGGCAGTGAGAGAG